AGGCAATTCACTCACCTCGGCCTCCCAAAGCACAGGATTACAGGCTGAGCCACCGAGCCCGGCCCAGTATATCTTTTCAAAGAAGGTTATTCATTAAATTTATAACTGAATATTTATGACTCAAGTACATGAATTCACAAAAGAGAAGCTGATTACCCCCAATCTTACTCACAGAACGCTACCTCGTCCAACCTCCCTCAGCTCCCGTGCCTTTTGTGGGCACATGCTGAGTACCTACCCACTCTGGCTGCTCATTAGGCTCTCCCTGTTTGTGGTCAGAATCTGCAGGCGGGGGTGAGTAATCCTTCACAGGAGTGGTGAATTCCACAGGTCCTGTTCCTGGCAAGGGGAGTTTCAGCAGTGGATAGCTGGGATGAACAAAAAGGAGAGAAGAGTTAGGACATCGTGAGAGGCAGAGTTTTCTCTGAGATAGCAGTGACATAGAAACCTCTGCAGTTACAACTATATACTCTCTGCTAGGAGAACTGTAAAAATGTACAAAATATTAGAGTAATAAAATTTCACAGCTAAAACTCATGTCACCCACATTAGAATTTTTCAAACTTATTTTAGTCACATAACCCTTACAAGAAAGCCCAATTAATAAAACAGACTGGTTAAATGTTTTCAGAAATTTAATAAAGGCAAGATCTAAAAAAAAAAACTAAACAGCCAGACGTGGTGGCTCATGCCTGTAATCCCAGCACTCCTGGGGTTAGAGACCAGCCTGAGCAACATGGTGAGACCTCGTCTCTATGATAAGTCCAAAAATTAGTCAAGCGGGTGCCTGTGGTTCCAACTACTTGGAAGGTTGAGGCTGTGGTGGCTGTGAGCGTGCCACTGCACTCCAGCCTGGGCAATAGAGTGAGACTCTAGCTTAACAAAACAAAACACATCTTCTCAAACTAGACTAGGATAACAGTCAAAAACATGGGAGTAAACTATAAAAACCCAGAAAGATTCCAATTCAGTTAGCTGAGCAATTGCTCCATTTAAAGGGACAGACTGTGAAAATTGTGTATACTTTTTTTTTTTTTTGAGTCGGAGTCTCACTCTGTCACCCAGACCAGAGTGCAGTGGCACGCTCACGGCTACCAAGCCTCGACCTGCTGGGCTGATGTGATAAGTAGCTGGGACTGCAAGCATATGCAATTACACCCAGCTAATTTTTTGATTTATGGTAGAGACAAGGTCTCACTATGTTGCCCAGGCTGGTCTCAAACTCCTCCTGGACTCAGGCAATTATCTTGCCTCTTCCTCCCAAAGTGCTAGGATTACAGGTGCGAGCCACCATGTCCAGTCGAAAACTGTGTATAATACATTGAAGATGTGGTTTACACTAGACCATGTCAAATAGAAAGGAAAATATGCTACATGGAAAGGAAAATCTTGGCCTTGCATCAAAAAGTTGGCAAATAGATGCATTTTGTTTTAGTTCTCACTTTTTAAAAACTCCAGAAATAACTTGTACAAAGTGAAACGTACAAATCTCAAGTATACAGTACAATGAGCTTTTACACATGCATACACCTGTGTAACCATTACCTAAGATCAAGCTATAAAACATTTCCAAGCCCGGCATGGTGGCTCATGCCTGTAATCCCAGCACTTTGGGAGGTGGAGGCAAGAGGATTGCCTGAGTCCAGGGGTTTGAGACCAGCCTGGGCAACTTGGTAAGACCTCATCTCTACAACAAATAAAAAAATTAGCCATGTGTGGTGGTACGCCTGTGGTTCCAGCTACTTGGAAGGCTGAGGTGGAAGGATCACCTGAGCTTAGCAGGTAAAGGCTGCAGTGGCTATGGGTATGCCACTGCATTCTAGCCAGGGCCATAAAGTGAGACTCCTACTCAAAAAAAAAAAAAATTTCCAGAACCTCAGAAGGCAGGCTCGTGCCCACTCCCCTCGCCACCAAAGGTAACTACTATCATCATTTCTATCACCACAGATTAGTTGCTTATTCTTGAATGTCATACAAACGAAACTATCTATTCCGCTTATACATTCTTGTGACTAGCTGCTTTCATTCAAATTGTAGCTGCTAGATTCATCCACATTGGAAACTTGGCAAGACCTCATCTCTACAATAAATTTTAAAAATTAGCCAGGTGTGGTGGCACGCGCCTGTAGTTCTGGCTACTTGGAAGGCTGAGGCGGAAGGATCACCAAAGCCCAGCAGGTCAATGCTGGGGTGGCCGTGAGTGTGTCACTGCACCCCAGCCTGGGCAACAGAGTGAGAATCCACCTCAAAATATATGTATATATATTATAACTAAACACAACTTGTTTCTCAAGATTTGAAATATTAAATGCATCTGTGAATTTCAGGAGTCTGAATATTCCAGCAGGAAGAGACTGAAAGGCAGCACACGTCAGAGTGCCCACTTTCTTAGGATAAAATCTCTTGAAATGCTCAAAATGGCTCACAGTCCTTCTCCAACCTTGCCCTGGAGCCATATATAACTCGGTAGGGTGTGTCTCCTCCTCTCTGCTTCTGAGGCTCTGAAACAGGAAACAGTCTTGCCCATTCTTAATATTTTTCCCATTATGACCCATAGAAGGAAAGATGCCCATTCTTCTTCTAGATGACCCCTCATCTTCAAGGCCTCAGTTATAGTATCATTTGTCCCCAGAAGTCTTCCCCTTTTCACAGTTAGTTTTGGGGACCCTTCTCCTATGAGCTGCCAAAGTGCTCATAAAAACTCATCCCGATGTGGCTCTTATCACTGACAAGTGGACCTGCCTGTATCTGTGAACCAATGATGATGGTTTCTAACTCACAGTACCTACTGCATGACAGTCACTGATCCAAGTGCCTTCCCTCTGTTTACTCATTTAAGCCACACCACAACCCAATGAGACATGCAGAGATTACAGATCCTCTAGAAAGTGACAAAACCAGGCTGGGCGTGGTGGCTCATGCCTATAATCCCAGCACTTTGGGAGGCTGATGTGAGAGGACAGCCTGAGCCTGGAGGTTTGAGAACAGCCTGGGCAACTTGGCCAGACCGCATCTCTACAATAAATCACAAAATTAGCCAGGCATAGTGGCACATGCCTGTAGTTCCAGCTACTTGGAAGGCTGAGGCGGAAGGATCGCCTTAGCCCAGCAGATTGAGGCTGCAGTGGCCGGGAACATACACTGCCCTCCAGCATGGGTGACAGAGTAAGACTCCCACTCAAAAAAAAAAAAAAAAAAAAAAAGTGACAAAACCAGTACATGAACACAGCAAATCTGGACCCAGAGTCTGTGCTCTTAACATAATACTGCCTCCTATTACATTTCTCTTTCATTTAAAAATTTTAACAACCATATATTCCTTTTAACAGAGGCAAAAGAAAGCCAGGTGTGGTGGTTCACCAGCACTTTGGGAGGTTGAGGCAGGAGAAGTGCTTGAGACCAGGAGTTTGAGATCCAGCCTGGGAAACACAGTGAGACCTTGTTTCTACAAAAAAAAAAAAATTAGCCTATAGTCTCAGCTACTCAGGAGGCTGAGATGGAAGGATCGCCTGAACCCAGGAGGTCAAGACTGCAGTGAGCCACGATCATACCACTGCACTCCAGTCTGCGTCACAGAGTGAGACTCCAAATCAAAAAAAAAAGCATATGCAAAGGAAAATGCCAAGAAAAAGATTCTGCAAAAATGCAAAAAGCCAGGGAATAATCACTTTCCATGGCTACCACATTCCAGAGCAAAGGAAAGCTTGAAAGAAAAGTGTCAGGCAATTTTTCCAGTTAAAATGCTCATTTTCTCCAGGTAAACAAAAGATTAAAGATATTTTAAGAAAGAAGCTGCCCAGGTATTTCTACCACCACCTCCGTGTTACTTCCACAAAACTTTTTAGAACCAAATTATATCTCGGCACACCCTGATCTTACAGGGGCAAGCAGAAATGAAGCAGGTCTTCAAAACCTCCCCTGCTTTTCCTGACTCAGCTCCACCTATCTGGCTTCTCAGACCAAGCACTTTAATCTTGACCCTTATACCCCACATCTGGTCCTCAAAAAATTCTGAGGACTCTACCTTCAAAATATATTTCATATCAACCATGTCTCACCACCTCCAATGCTTCCACTTAGGCTAAGCAACCATCAACTCTCACCTACAGTAGCATACTAGTTTAATTGGACTTCTTAATTCTACCCCTAAAATCACTTATCCCCTCATCAGGTATGGAACTGAAGTCCAAATTTCCCAGCATGGCTTATAAGTCCATTAGTATCACAGTCCTCCTCTCCTGCTATGTCCTGACTGGACCATTCCCCAGTGTCCATATTCCAAACACCTTCCTGCTGCCATGCATGCATAGCATGTTCCCTGTATATGGCCACCTAAGACTTCCCCAAAGGCTGCTGGTGCCCTACCCTTACCTCTCTGATCTTATTTCTGAGTATGCTGGCTCAATTTCCAACTGCCAGCAGTTGCACCTCTTTGCCCAAGGATGGTCTATTGCTGCTGGAGGCCACTCTCCCTAAGTAAGACAGGCCAACAAGTGCTAGGGAGTAATGCAGTGGTTGATGCTGCTACTGTATAGATTAGGAGTCGGCAGACAACAGCACATGGATCAAATCCAACCCATGACCTCTTCTGGCATAAAGTCTGTGAGTAAGAACAGTTTTAATACTTTTAAAGGGTTATATAAAACAAAAACAGAAAACAAAAAGAATATGTGACAGAAACTGCATGTGGCTGGCAAGGCCTAAAGTATTTACTTTCTGGCCAGTTATGGAGTTTGCAGATCCTTGGCCTAGACAGCCCAGCTCCCCCACACTCAGTTGGGTAGCACTATTTCTCAGCACTCCCAGAATTACTCTGGGCCATGGTGGTAATCTGCTGGTTGATGTGCCTTCCCAGACATCTCACTTCCCCACCTCTTGTACATGATGAGCTACTTGCATTCCGCTTGTACATGAGCTACTTGCACTCAGATCATCTCAAAGGGAGTTCAAACTAAAACTTGGGTTTTATAAGTCCAATGGAATAATGTATCATGTACTGAGGACTTGAAGCATAGGTTCATGTGTCATCCCTCCTCCCAGGGACAGGTTCTTTACTACCAGCTCCCCAACCCTTGCACCCTAGGACCTGGCCTTCCCCTCTCAGGCCAGGTGTTGCATCTGCTGCCACCCCCTGGCAGGGGCCTGGATGCAAAAGCAAGAAGGGTTGGGATCAGACACTCCCCCACCTCCTCACTGTGTCTTGGGTGGTGAAGCAACAACCATCCCCATTCCGGGATGACAGAACCATAACACATCTAGTGGGCATTTTGGTAGGGCCATGCCTTTCACCTCCTCCCAAAGTGCATTTTAGTACCTTTAGTGGTACTTTTCTCCTGCTTTTTGGATAAGCAGCCCTGTGTTTTCATGC